TGGAGAAAGATATCCAAGAATTGCTTGCTCTTCGTTCCAACAGATCTAATATCGTCAGCTTGGTCTCTAAAATGGTTGAAACAGCCTTAAAAAGATCGAGAATGGCTCTTGGAGGAGACTCTAGCTGAGGAAACCTGACTAAGGGAAGAGGTGAGCGAGCTACCACACGGGGCGAGATGATCGGAGAAGAATGCCAGAAGACTAACTTCATCTTAGCACACTTAGCTCAATCCATAACTAAGGTGAAGCAAGTCATAGCGGAGGCACATGCAATCCTGACAGAGAAGGAGCAAGCTCATGTCGCGGTCCTGGTAGAGTCGGAGGAGCTTGAGACTCAATAACAACTGGTTCTTGGCGAGCTCGAGGATAGAGATAGAGCTCTGAATACAGTGGATGTCTAGCTAGCCGACACCATCTCGCTCACTGAAGAAGATATCCGCCGCCAGATCTTTCATGCTGTTGAGGAAGAATAGACCAAGGTCATCAAAGATATTGAGGGCCGGTTGAGAAGTTTTTGAGTCGACTTTGTTTTGAATAAATTTTGTAATGAAAACTTCTCATTATGAATAAATTAAGTTTTTATTGAATTTTCATTTCTGATATCTCGTGATTTTTTTTGCCTTGTCTGCTCTGTTGACTAATAATTAGATTTTTTAGCAAATCCTCAGCTATCAATGGATTTGATTTTGTCTTTACCAATTACCCTTCGAATTGGGCTAGTCATACTATTTCCCTCAGTATGGTGAGTTGTCGAGAAGTTTCTCTTAGACTTAATTCTAAGATTTCTCCTCTATCCTTAGTCATTTAAAGTATTGGATCAAGAATTGAGTGATTACAGCAGTTAAGTTGTAATCAGGCTTGGTTGTGTTGTTCGGAGTTTAAAAGCGAGGCTCATCGTATGGTAGGCCCAACATTTCAGAAAGTAGTCATTTGTAGGAATGACCAATGGAGCGTGATGATATCGTTAATGCAATAACGATCTCAAATTTGAATTGCGACTCATCGCTTGGTAGGTCGCTATTCGGGAATAAGGCACATTGCTTGGTAGGCCACTATCAACGAACAACATCATTTACAGGAATGACAGTGGGAAAGTGATTAAGTTATTCAATGACATGGGAGTATAACGCCTGTGATCAAAATAGAGGCACATCGCGTGGTAGGCTACTATTTAGGAATGAGAGTATAGATAGGAGCTCATCGCTTGGTAGGCCACTATCAATGAACAACTATCATTTTCAGGAATGGTGGTGCAGAAAAATCAAGTCGTTCAGTGACGTGAGAATATAACGACTGTGATCAGAATAGTGACACATCACATAGTAGGTCACTATCTTCGATCATTCTAAAGAGATAGAACGTTCGGAAAAGATCTGATAGCGAACCATCACGTGGTAGATTGCCATATTTATCGAGTGGTAAGTAGAGGCTCATCGCATGGTAGACCACTACTTGACGGAGTGTTTTAATAGTAATAAAAGTACTGACTATCAGAGGTAATCATTAACATTATAGTTTTGTGAGGACCCGCCATCCTATTGAAGAGGAATAGCAGGAGAATTAGGAGGATAGTAACGAATGCGGTTGTCACATTAATTGACTTCATGGGAGTTACAAGAGCTTTAGTAGCTTTAACAATACCGGAGGTTGTGCTCCTCGATATTGTTAGGATCACATATCATTACTGCTTTGGTGGTATTTGGACCTTCTCAAGGAAGCGGCCAGTATATGAGAAGCCTATGGAAAATACTTCTTCAAAAATTTATCGTTAATAGGCATCATGACCTTGTCACTATTCGGTTTGACGAGGCGATATACTCCATTCGAATAGACCG